GTGGAGTCAGTTCTGACTCATAGCTACCTTGCGTACGGTTTCCGAGGCTGTAAATCTCTACGGGAGCAGAAAGCCTCATCTCTCTCCTGCAGAATGACTGATAGTTTCAAACTGCTGATCTTGAGGTTAGCAGCCCGACTCGTAACCACTACTCTAGCAGAGTGATTTTCTTTAAAAAAGCAAGATTATTTTATAAACTGCTTTCCCTTACGTAGCAACAACGTTATTGTTCAAACCGACCTTGCAGTCCAGTGTTTATCCTACAGCACCCCCCGCAAGACTCTGTTGTTATTGTTAAGTACCGTGGAATCGGTTCCAACTCATAGTGACCCTGCACAGGGTTTCCAAGACTGTACATCTTTACGGGAGCAGAACACCTCATCTTTCTCCCGCAGAACAGCTGGTAGTTTCGAACTGCTGACCTTAAGGTTAGCAGCCCGATTCGTAAGCACTACGCTACCAGAAACCCTTCCACGACTCTCTCTCATATATATATATATGTTGTTGTTAAGAGCTATGGAGTCGATTCCGACTCATAGCCACCCTTGTATAGGGTTTCGGAGGAGCAGCTGGTAAATTTGAAAGGCTGACCTTGCGGTTCGGAGGAATTTATGTTCTAGTGCGTATGCTATAGCGCCAACTATGGAGTCCTGATGTGGCGCTGCAGGATAAGAATCGGACACCAGCCACTCCTAGAAACCCTATGCAGACACGCTGAGTTGAAAGCGACTTGATGGCACTGGGATAAGCATTGACCGCAAGGTCAGTGACTCAGACTTACCAGCCACTCATCTCAATCCCTATACAGGATCACTTAGTCAAAACTGACTTGTTGGCACTTATTAATAACAACATGGTGGTGGTGGTGTGCCGTGGGTTGATTCTGATTTACAGCTACCCTGTATAGGGTTTCCAAGGAGCAACCTGGAGGTTTGAATTGCCGACCCTGTGGTTTGCAGCCCAGTGCTGATCCTACAGCACTCCGTAAGGACTCTTCTTGTTAAGCACCGTCGCTTTGGTTCCGACTCATAGCAACCCTGTATAGGGTTTCCCAGGAGCGGCTGGTGAATTTGAACCACTGACCTTGAAGTTCAAACCAACCTGGCTTATCCTATCTGTCCTAGAGCTTTGCGTTGAGTCATAGTCAGCTTCCAGACGTGGTGGTGGTGGTGGTGGTGGTGGTGGTGGTGGTGGTGATGTGCCGTCGAGTCGGTTCGGACTCATAGCGACCATGAACGAGGTTTCCGAGGCTGTACATCTTTACGGGAGCAGAAAGTCTCGGCTTTCTCCCGTGGAACAGTTGGTAGTTTCGAACTGCCAACCTTGAGGTTAGCAGCCCGATTCATAACCACTACGCTACCAGAGCATGGTGTTAGGTGTTTTGTTTAAAATACACAGAAGGATGTGCATAGGGTATCTACAAATAGTATGCTATTTACATAAGGAGCTTGAGTACTTGCGTATTTTAGTATCTGGAATGGTGCAGGACAGGGAATGAATACTTGTGCCTAATATAAGACACCGTGTAAACATAGGAAAAACCCTGGCATCAGCTGAATCCTCATCCCCACCCTGTAAGTCCTGTGTCAGTGCATGCTTGGTACACTGCTTTTACTCTGTTCCAATTTGTATGCAGCACTCAGAGCGTCTTTGAATTTCTTAAAAACAATTTACTTGCACACCTTATTGATGGATGCAGACTAAGGTCACGAATAACCTCGACAGCATTGACATTCTGAGCAGAAGAATTTGTCACTGTAGGATGCTGTCCTGTGCATTGTTGGATATTTAGCAGTATGCCTCTAGAGACCATTAGCAATTCTCTCTTCCCCGGTTGGGACAACCAGAAATATTTCTGGCATTAACAAATGGGACCAGGGGGTAAAATCAACTCAAGTTGAGAAGCACTGATGTAGATTATACCAAAGACAAAGTTTGTTGGAGGATTTTATATGGTACAATCCATTACAAAATGAATATCTTCCAATTGTTTTCCCTCTGAAATCCCATCTTGGTTTCCGTACCTTTTTTTTTTTTTTCTAAATCTGTTGAATGATTTCTCAACTACTGCGCTCCTAACACTGTTTGCTGTGGGGGCTGTATGTGGGGGCATTGTGAGAGGTATAGGAGCACCCCTGACCTCTACCAGGAGATACCAGTATCACATTTCCCTTCCAGACACTGGCAAAATTGGCCTTGCTTTGAGACCCACTGATTCAGACAATAGAAGACAATAGAAGAGTGGAGGGTTTTATTTTGCACAGCCCACAGAAATAACTTTTTTGTTTTTTGCTTGAAGTCCCTTCTTGGTTACTGTGCAGTTGGTGTTTTGTTTTTCTTAGGCTTTCTCAAGGATTCTCCATCTAGGGACTACTGACATTTTGGGAAGGATAGTTCTTTGTTGTGTGAGAATGCCTTGTGCTCTATGGGATGTTTAGCAGCATCACTGGCTGCTACCTACTAGATGCCAGTAGCATCTTCCTTCTCCTGCCCCTACTGTTGTGACAGCCCTGGTGTGGCGCTGTGGGATAATGCCCTAGACTGCAAGACTGGTTTAAACTGTAAGGTCGGCAGTTCAAATTTACCAGCTGCTCGTCTGACACCGATACAGGCTCACTTATGAGTCGGAACGAACTCAAAGGCACTCAAACAAATTGTCTCCAGATTTTGCCAAATGTCCCCTAGAGGTGAAGGCACTCCTGGTTGAGAACCATTGCTCCATTTTTGCTTACCTTTTTATATAATGTGTCTCTTCATCTTTCTCTTTAGAAAAAAGGCAATTTTTTCTCTTTTTCGTTATCGTAGACATTGATAGGATTTGTTACTTGAATGGGATTGAGGAACCTCACAATCTCAAGTAGTTTAATTATTGCATGTTTTTCTAATAAATATAGTATTGCCCCTAAGAGGAATTTTGGCAAATAACACAAAGCCCAATTTACAAAGCATTAATCATTTATCCTCTGAAGGAACAGCAACAGGCTGTGTGAACTTCTGTAGCAGACTGCTTTTATATTCAAATAAATATGTACATAAGGCTCGCCTTCACTAAATCCGACCTTGTCCACAACTTCAGGACAAGCATATTGTCTTGAACATAGTGACTATTTTGAAGCAAAAAGTACTTAAATACTGGAATCAGACTTATCTGGGTTAAAATATCAGTTCAATAGTGTTTTAACCAGATTTAGTGACTTAAGCGTTGGCTCCTGTGATCTTGTTTTATCATCTCAAACTGGGGATAAGCTTACCTTCTGAGTGGGTTTCTTATAAATATTAGAGATTGTGAGATAAAGCACCTAATATGTAGCAAACACTCAAGAATGTTGACCATTAATTTTAACCAATATTAATTTTATTGAGTGAAATTGTGGCCTATATAAAGAGCCTTTAAAGACAGACTTTACAACCCAAATACCTATACCTAGAGTGTATATTTATTTCTCTCATTTCCTGATTGCAGATGAGGCATGCTGG